CAAAAAAAAAAAAAAAAGTTTCTGTATGTGGAAACCACCTCCTTCAAATATTAGACGGCCAAATGACAAACTATATTGATTTGAGGACACCATGATTTTTATAATATGTTTCTTTATTTAAATTAAAAAAATAATTCTTTTAACCTTCCAATAAAAAATAATAATAAATTGCACCATTAAAACAGTGTTGTACGCTTTACTACTACTTTTCCTATTGACTCAGTTTCTACTTTCTAGTTCGAATTTTCCACGTACTTTAGAACTCTGTTGAGGCCCTTTCAAAAAAAAAAAAAAAAAAAAAAAAAAAAAAAAAACTCGCATTGACGGGTTCAATAAGCTTGTTAAGTAGTATTGCTGGACCATCGGACCTATTAAATCCATTGATATGTTCCGTAATCGTCGAATAGTATTTGATTATTCGTTTAGTACGTCAAGATCGTTCATTCATATTGTTTTGATCATACATTTCTATACAGAATGTAGTGCATTAATGCAATCTTAGCTTGTAATGGCTTAGGTGAAACATTGTGCGATTGTCGTGTTGAATGAATTTGTAAATTTTAGTACAATGTTAGAACAACAACTAGTTTGGTTATAGTATTATAGTTAATGGGTTGACTCTATGCTAGATTCAAGACTTTAAGAAAGAACGTGGTGGTGGAGAGTAATTTTAAGGTATAGCCGTCAAATTTGTCATATTCATATAGAGGCTAATTACTGTACAAAGTAGTTCACAATATGTAAAGTCAGGATGGTTGAGTGGTCTAAGGCGCCAGACTCAAGTTTTGGTCTTCATGGGAGGGCGTGGGTTCAAATCCCACTTCTGACATAAAATAAAAAAAAAAAAAAAAAAAGAGTTAATCAACGATTTGGTCACTCAATTATTGCCAAACTGTGAATGTAGTCCTGTCCTTTAATTCCTTAATCATCGATTTAGCCCCCGAAAATAATTCTTTAATCATCGATTTAGCCCCCGAAAATAATTCTTTTTAGTCATTTTAGTCCCTCCGTCGTTTTCCGGCAACACTCCGGTTAGACCTCCGATTTACCAGGGTCAATTTTGTCATTTCATTTGTTTATTCACTTCGTACTTGCTTACCCCACACTTTGAGTTTGGCATCTTTCTCTTCCATGGAATCTGCTACTCCAAGGAAAGCTATCATTCTTTCCAGTTCATCTCTGATGTACTCAACTTCCTCTGAGCATACACTTTCAGTTTGACCACGAGCAGTCATGAGCTCATAGAACTTGCGCATCAGCATTTCTTCCTCAACCTAAAAATATCATGCAAATGAAGATAATTACATAGATATTGAAGAACACCAGAGGCAACTTATGACTACAAATATCATGCAAATGACAGCGTTATTACTCTGGTTACACCATATCAGAAAGGCTCAAAGAAGATGCAAAAAACCATCCAAAACATTGTTGCTGCCATTTATTCCTTGATTTAGGAAATCCAGTTCTTTAACTCAAGTACTCAACCTTAGTCAATATACGTTGTAAGCAAGACCAAACCCCCCCCCCCCCCCCCCCCCCCCCATAGAGAAGTATTTATATTATCTATCTAGAAGAAAATGATAGGTAGGATAATCAATTTCAAGAGGGAATCAACCATCTAGACTTGCAATGATACATGACATTAGGCCGGCTAATCTCATTTAAAACATTTTACACCAAACCCGAATTAGTTCAATCGCAAAATGACCATAATGTACCATCTACCTTCCCTAAAAAGGTTCTTGTAGCTAAAAACCAAACTCTTCTCAAGCAAAATCTTAAGACACCATCAAAGGGTAGATTCCAAGAGTTCAAAATAAACAATTTTAAGCATTACAAGCTTTGCACAGAACCAGAACAAAGAACACAAAGTGCATACAGCCTCTAAAATGTTCAATCTTTTCTAAACAACTGATTGGTTGAGATTTGAGCAGAGTATATACACCCAAAACAGTGAATTTCTTCTCTTCCCCTATCCTATCAGCAAGCATACGGTTCTTAGCAATGAAGTCAATAATCAAAATGTGATTAGGAAATAAACTAACTGCATAGATTAACAAGATTACTTACTGAAAATTACAGAGAAGATAAAACAGTGTTACAAAATGGAATCACAAAAGAACTAAGACATTTTGAGCAAAACCTGAAGCGTATGCAATTCGTGCGACATGGAATTATAGGCTTCCATAAGGAGCTCGTATTCCTTCTCTAAATGTCTGCACCACCCCACAGAATATCATCATCAGAAGATCAGACATCAAAGATTAACCCTAACCGTGAAAAAAACGAAAGTAAAGCAAATGCACTGTGAGATAAACAGTAAACAATAAACCATTCAAATTCGACAATTACTTTAGCGTTTCTCCTGCGTATCTAGGATCCATCTCTGTTAGGAGTTTAATCTTCAAACAATTACTGAGTAGTGAATTCCATGGAAGAGAAAGATGCCGAACTCAAAGTGTGGGTTAAGCAAGTACGAAGTGAATAAACAAATGAAATGACAAAATTGACCCTGATAAATCGGAGTGTTGCCGGAAAACGGACGGAGGGACTAAAATGACTAAAAAGAAATATTTTCGCGGACTAAATCGATGATTAAGGAATTAGATGACTACATTCACAGTTTGGCAATAATTGAGGGACCAAATCGTTGATTAACTCTTTTTTTTATTTATTTTATTTTATGTCAGAAGTGAGATTCTAACAAATTTTCTAAAGGGTTCAGTAGACCTGTTAAGTAGTATCGTTAGACTAACGTGTTTGTTCAACTGATCTATTGAACCCGTTGAGACATTGACGAGCTCAATAGACTCTTTAAGTAATATTGTTCGAAAACTAAAAACGCGTTGAGGGATAAGATTTATGAATAGACAAGTGCAATGCAGGTCAATGGCATTAAAATATATCTTTGTCGTACACAGAAGAAGAATTAATTCATCACAGGTCGCATGATTGATAATGACAACATAATTCGTATGTGATAATGACTGCATTCACACCGAATCGAAGACAAATGTGAACCGTTCCCATAACCACGGAGAAGTAACAATTTCAGAATTACAATTTGTAAAGTATACTTTTAAATTGCACATGTAAGTTTCATAAAATTCACAAGTGAATTTTTAATGGATTTTAGTGATGTGGAGGAGAGATGAGGGGAAGGTTTGGCGCGGGGGGGGGGAGGGTGATAGATGAGGGGAAGGTTTGGCGGAGGGGGGAGGTTTGTTAGAGTAAAATATGCAGGCCGGCCTAGAGGGGCGGGGCAAATGGACATTCGCTCAGGGCTCAATGTTAAAGCGGCTTTCTAATTTGGATTTTTATTTTTTGATAAAGTTAAGAGAAAAAAATATTTCTTGCATGAGTAGAGATTCGAACTCACAACTTCAAAATTATTATTTAACATTAAATCGACTTAACCATTATAATCATTTAATATAATAATTCAATTAATAGATACTCCGTATATATTAGAGAATATTAAATTAATTTATTATTAAACTTCATACAGGGACCCAAAGTTTGAATGAGCACTATTCCGGGATTAGTCCAACTGATTTTTTTTAAAAATAAAGTTTTTTAAAAATTATAAGTCCATAAAATTCAAAGTTATCCTTGAATTATTTTCAATTAACAAAATCTTTTGAACTATATATATATATATATATATATATATATATATATATATATATATAAACATTTTAATTTTATTATAAGAGATAAGAGAAGGGGGATATGCCCACATATTATACAAGATAATACACTTCCACTAAAGTTTAAACCCACAACGTTTCACATAAGAGAGCAACTTAATACCATTGAACCACAAAGTCCGTAATTTTATATATATATATATATATATATATATATATATATATATATATATATATATATATATATTAATGGTCTTTGTTTTTACTTTGTCCCGGACCTATAAAATGATAGGACTTATGCGCCTAGCAGCTGCGTCGGGTTATCGTGAACTAGTAAAAGAATAAAATTGAAGTATTAATCTTGGTCTAATTGTTGTCAAAAAAATAAAAAAATCTTGGTCTAATTCTAATAGATTATGAATGGACAAGTGCAATGACATTCATATAAGTTTGTCGTACACAGAAGAATTCATGATTGATAGTGACAATATAAATCTTGTTCACACGTAGTAATTAAAGGACTGATCGATAAAGACTGCATTATATTCACACCGAATCCAAGACAAATGTGAAACCGTTACCGTAATCCAAAAGTAACACTCACGGGTATTGATGCAACGTGGACGATGGTCCACGACGTTACACGATCTCTTAATATGGCCGACGCCTAAACTCTGCTATGCCTCTAATCTCAACTCCTAAATCCTGATTTTTGTCAATAAACTGTTTACTGTTGTCCGCAAACACTCGATTCTTTACGAGATAATATCTACTCAATATACTTTCTGTTATATTACAAAGAGTCAATACTCTAAGATCGAGAATTTGATCCTGTGACTTTCCTTCAAGAGAGCCACAGATGTGCCAATTGAATATAATAACAAAAGAAGGGAATCCCAATAAAAGAGAGATAATGATCTCTAGCAATAATTATTAATTACTCATTAAACAATTATCTACTTTTGCCAAGCACCTTGTGCAATGATGGCACCTGGATTGGACTCTCAATGAGAGATTGTGAGTTCAAACCTTAGTAGAGACGTTATTGGCTTTTTGTGCTTCAGTAGGTTAAGAAAGTAGTTATGAACAGATACTACATTGTATAGAGTCACTAGCATTCTGTCCGCTTTTAATACTTATTCGTTGGTTTTCTGCTAAACAAGTTAATTTGGATTCAACTGAACAATTTTACTAGTTTAGGAAATTTGAATGTAGCTGTTTTTTTTTTTTTACTTATGAGATTCAATTGCACTATTCGGTTGACTTAGGATGGCAATTTAACCATTTTTCTAATTGATTAAACTTTATATTGATCTTACTCAATAGGTCTCACAAATATGGGCTCGTGTGGCAGTCTCACAAAAATGGTTGAACTTATAATTAATAATTGATTGAAACTAGCAAAGGGGTGGTGGCGCAGTTGGCTAGCGCGTAGGTCTCATAGCTTAAGAGTGATCCTGAGGTCGAGAGTTCGAGCCTCTCTCACCCCAAACTTCATTTTGCCTAAGAGATGCTGAACCCGTGAGTGGTAGCCTGGTAGGTTTTGTTTAAATTGTTTTTGTATACATAAAGAATATATAGGGTTTTGTTTAAATTGATTTTGTATATAGTTAAGTTAATTCCAATGATGGTACATTAACTATTGATATTTATCAATTTTATCTTTAATTTTCAATTGAATCATAAATGATCTATTGATTATTGACTTTACCAATTTTCATAATAAACTTTTAATTTGAACATAATGGTCTCTTGACGACTACTGATTTTGTTCTAAATTTGGTATTCCAATAAAATACCTATTTAGTAAACATTAAATTTAAAAATAATATTGTAAAATTTTGGTTCTTCACATTCCCACTAATAATGAACACAATGTATTAAATTTATGAACTCAATTTGCCAATCTCAACAAGTCAATTTTTGTATTATTATCCTTAAATTTAATGTTTACTAAATGATTATTAATTGGATGACCAAATTTAGAACAAAATCAATAGCCAAGGAATCATTTATGATCAAATTAAAAGTCGATGATGAAAAATAAAAATATCACTAGACAAGAAATTGTTTATGGTCCAATAATTAAAAATCAATGATAAAAATTGATAAATGTCAATAGTGAAGGGATCATTACTAGAATTAATTATTTTACATACATGAGGGTAATTCGTGGGTGAAATAATTTTGAACACAAATGTGAGCATAAGAATATTGATTTTACGTTTTTATATGGGATAATCATCACATTTTTTGTTGTTGATTTAATCTCTTAATATAAAATAAAATAGAAATAATAATCCTATTTTAGTCATACATTTTCAATTTTATACAATATAGCCATCAATATAATTGGTTTATCATGTTGTAGATTTAATCTCTCAATATAAAATAAAATAGAAATAATAATCCTATTTTAGTCATTTTTCATAGTTTAGTAGGTTCAAATTGGTATGATAAATATTAATTAAGGATAAGGGTCAAATATAATAGTCCGTACTCCCTCCTACCACCCTTAAAAAATGCAATTGGCACCATCAACTCATCAAAGCTCCGAATTGACCACCTTATTTGTCAAAAAGAACATGTTCATCTCAGGCACAAAGACATTATAATATATAGATTTTTGTAATCCACATACATTATTGGACCATTCACAATTATATAGAGTTATTATAACTAGGGGTGTAAGTGAACATATCTTTCAGTAAATTACTCGTGTTCGTAGTGTCTGTATTCATGTTTAGTATGTGTTTGTTTATGTTCGTTTATTAAATTAAATGATCATAAATAGACAAATTTTAGAGGTCATTTAATAAACGAATAGAGTATGAACATTTGTATGCTCGTTTAGTGTTTATTTAATAATATAATGGTCACAAACATACTCATTTTTTTACTTTTATACGGAGTATTAGATGTTGTTTTATACTTATTTGTATTATTTTTATAGTTGTTATGTTGTTTGTTTGGTTATTGTCCGTGAACATAGACTATTTGTTATTCGTGAACAAATTATATATGATCATGAAAATGTACAAGCTAAGTGTTTGTTTGTTTAGTGGGTAGCTTGGTTGTTCACAAACACAATTAATTGACCAAACAAAGGAACATGTTCACGAATGTTAATGAACACAAGTAGAATTTTAAAAAATCTTAACAAATGAACATGACCATGAACACTATAAAAATCGTAACATACGAATTGAACACGAACAAGTTATTATATGTTAATTTGTGTTCGGTTCGTCTTTAATCCCACATCCCGATCAGATAGAGCATTTAGGAGGATGTAAATCATGGTGGCTCAATGGATCGACAAACAGGGCCAAATGTCGGTTCGCACAAGGGGCCTGCCTACTTTGAGTATAATCCCCACATTGTCACTGTCGCTGCCGAGGTTCGAACATTAGTCTCTTCTCTTAAATACGTACTGCCTACTGAATCAGTGAGCTAAGACCGTTCGAACAAGTCAAGTAACTACCTTGATGCGTTCGCTGATATTCTCTCCCCTCAACATCACACTCTATAAAAAAACTCACTTTAATTTTTATAGCCAATGGAGATGCTCTAAGCCTCTAACACAACTCATTCCTTAGTTTTTTTTTTTTTTTTTTAATTTGACGATCCCAATTTATACACATATTGACTTTGTTAGATAGATCCACTGGTATTTGGTTGCTCCCTTATGTGGGAGGTTTAGGGTTTTAGCCTTGGTGCAGGCGTAGATTGTATATGTGGGTATTCCTCTTTTTCTGTAATAAAAAAAAAATTAAAATCTCTCAAAATGAGTGGAGCATGATTCTCATGCTTGAACGTCACGGGTTCAATTCTTGCTAATTGTCAC